AGCAAGATRAAGACCGCCGTTCGAAAGAGCAGTAGATGGCCTTGAATATAACTTCGAACTGCCTACACGCTACAGAATAGGAATGTATCTCCTGCCAACCCGTGGGCAGATGCATCCCCGTTTTCGGTTTCCATCCGTGCGCAGCTCCGAACTCTCGAACCTTGCATCCGTTGCTCCTTACAGACGTCCTGCCAAGTAACTACGTCTGTCTGACACCTTCCCTTCTGCATAAGCAGTGCAGCCGAGCGAAATCAGGATGGATCTTTCTCGGAATTCGACTACATACCTGCCTAGTGAGTACCCACTCCTCAGCTCAAATCCATACTACGCTTACGGGCGGTGCGGCGGGKTTAACAGGKAAGTCTCCTCCTCGCTGCCTACATGCGACCTTCCTATAGCAACTGGAGTTTCAAAATCGAATGAATCTTCCGCAAAAGTGCGGATGGATTCATTCCCAACTTCGAATTGCCTTCCCTTACGTAGCCTATATCCCCCACAGCGCTATAACTACCGCCTTGTTCCCAATTTCGGTCGTGCCATCGTCATAGAACCCCCGAGTAGGATCTCACCCCGCCCGTTTTCCATCAAGGATCGGGCGGTTTTTCTCGCTTTCTTTCTCCCACCTACACTCCCTTCCGCCATCTCCACGCAACCATAACTACCACTAACTCTCATCGTATTGATCTTACCCCCAAACTAACTTCACCATTCTACTCGCAGTGGTCGAAAACCCCAAGATCGAGCTTTGGTTCGCCCGTTTTTATCGAGAATCGGGCGAACCACTCATCTCCTATTCTCAACATCTAATTTACTCAACTATTCCCAAAACTAACGGCGCCATCAGAATCGCCCTGCCCAAAAACCTCAACTCCGACTCTTCACTCACATAGATCCATCAAGGATCGAGTGCAATCTCGGTCCTCCCCCTCACCATCTCTCTGTCCGCCATCACTCCRCGCAACAGTTTTTTTTATACTAACTCCTCCCCTGYTGACTTTCTCTTAAAACTAATACCGTAGTTAGATTCGCCGACCCCTAAAACCCCTATCTAGACTCTTACTTCGCCCGATTCTACCAAGAATCGAGCGCGATGTGCATCCTTTCGTCCGCCRTAGACTCGCTCCCTTCATTTCCAACTCCGAATGCACCTAGCGCGCCCCTCCGTCCACATTCATTTCCCTTTTTGCTACGCCCGCTAATTCATCTCTCTGCCCCTTCTTACGTGGATGTACCCAGCGCGAAAGCTGGTCTAGGTCCGGTCACTCCTCAGCACCCCATCGTTCCACTGCGCTGCGCTGCCCATCTCCTTTGCGCGTATGTACCCGGCACGGATCCAGCCCGGGTTCATTCGCCCCCTCTTGCTGCTGCCCGTCGCCTCTCAGCCTCGTGGCTGCCCCCTCTCCCCGACGGCTCTCCTTAGTCCGTCACCCCCTGGAGCAGCCGCCCGTCCGCTGCGCTCTCACTCCGTGTCTCAGCCGGGTTGACGTCACCCCGGCGCCTCAAACGCGGTACGGTCCGACAGTCGGTCGAATGCCAAAGTGCAAAATGCGCCTGGCTGTTGGGCTTCCTCCKCTATATCCGTACCGTCCTTGCGCAGGGGCCATGCTAATCTTCTGTGTATCGTTCCAATTTTAACGGATGTCCCGAAGGACTTGGTCGGGTCTATGCCCCCACAGCAGCACCAGAGGGCACTCCGCCTGCTGTTCGCCTGCGCCCGACACGATTCACGTCCGGGTTCACCCCGGATCTTGTTTTTGTCCTACGTCACCCTTATGTAGGGGCCCTACTAATCTCCTCTGCAGTATTCCGGCCCCGACGGATGCCCCGAAGGACTTAGCCCGGGCCATGCCCCGCGACACTTCGAGGGCTGAGCAGGCCCAGGCAGACYAGAACTTTTGGCTTTAGTCATCGGGCTCCATCATTTGGGCTTGGAGACAGGTCTGTACTTTAGCAGTTTAATGGTGTACCCATTGAGATGGGCCTTTGAGTGCCGGCCGCGCCCACGGCGCCGCGTCCTAAGACAAGACGAGGCGCGACTTCGACGCAGCCACAAAAACCATTTGTAATTGCACTTCATGCAACCCCCCCCCCCCGCGAATGCAACACTCCCTTTATCGCAGCCTCATGTCCCTGAATGGGACGCGATACCTCAAGGACCCAAAAATAATAATAATAATAATAATAAAAAAAAAAACAATATACAAATAACTTAATAGTGGTGAGGATCAGCGGGGCTGCTGATACCTTACCAGTCCCGAGGGGCAGGCCCGCCGCCGCTCTCGCCAACAAAAATCCGAGGGGGAAAGCCCCGTCGGGCCCTCAACCCCTCGGTCTCCTCCGCACCGCTTTGCTGCTTTCAGGCCGACGTCCGCCGGCCTTGATCCCCGAACCTCCGTAGTAATAGTCCGATGCCGTAACCTTAAGGGCTAAGTCCAAACATGGGGATGAGTCCCGCAGGATACCATATAGGCAGTGCGGCGCGACGCTTTTGGGCCAACCAAACGGTTGCGCGGCTCCCATTTGCCCGCGCCGATTTGCTTATACCATGCCATAACTACCCGGCGCGCCATCCTACGACACCCCGCTTACCGCACGAAATCGCGCCGTTATTGCCGATGCCGTCGTCGGGGTCGTTTCTCCGCACACGCGCTTGACCTACTAATCAAAAAAAATATATCCTTAATCCCTGCTTAATAAAAAATAATAATATCACCAAACGAAACGACCGAGGTCCGGGCCGGCTTTACGATTAAATAATAGAAAAAGAATCACGCGCGCCTTAAACCTGCGCGCCCACGCACTCGCTATTGCGGTCAACCACCCAGT